CTGGGAAATGACTAGCTCACCTGACACCAGGTGGCTTGAGGTCACTCTGCCTGGCCTGGCACCCTGACCTTTCTCAGCTCACCCTCGCCCACCATCTGCATCTGCCCCCAGCTGCACCTGACCTGTAGGGCTTGCGTTCTGCCTGCTGGCCCTTCCCTAGGTCTGCAGCTGCTTCCCGCCTGCACCTGGGGTGCCCTCTTGCACCCTTTGAGATGCACCTCGACTGTCTCTTCTCCAGCTCCTTCCCTAGACACCACCCCTTGCTCACACTGGGCAGACGATCCCTCCCTCAAGCTCAGTGGACAGTGTCTGAGAGCCTTTCATTCACTCCAGAAAACTCCTCTAGACCTGGGATCAGTGCTTGGTTCTCTTCTTCTTTCTCCAGCAACTTGCTGGGTGAACTTGGCTGGCTCATGACAGCTCTTTGCACAAGGCCAGGCAGCAGGAGGTGATTTAATGTGGTCACGTGGAGGTCAGATTCCAGCCACCCGTTAAATACATTTGAGGGCCCACATTCTTCTCTCACCTGGTTTGCTCCCTGGAGCATTGGCCACCCCCACCTCTTAGCGCGTGCACAGCACTGCCACACGTGGGCAGCAGTCTGTCAGCCTCTTGCATCTGTCCCTCGAATGAGCCCTAAGGTTTGCAACAACATCGCCATCCACCTGTGTGCTACTGATTCTGCTTAGAGCGTTCACTACGTGCACTGCTCCTTGAGGTGGGTCCGATTATCATTCCCATTTCACAGACGAGGCCACTGAGGCGCAGAGAGCTTGTGTGCCTCATCCAAGGAGGTGTGGTGCGACCTTGTGGTGGATGAAGCCGGTGCCCTGGAGCTTGCCTGTGTCCCCCTGTCCCACAGCCCCTCCCTGCTGGAGGGACCTCTCCCACAGAGTGAAACCCAATCCCCTGGGACTCTAGCCACCATCAGGGCTCTGTGCCAGCATCTCACGCACGCACCTTGGGAAGCTGAGTCCCCAGCTGGAGTGGTGAGCAGCTTTCCCTAGCAGGGCAGGAAGACTTGCAGGAAGTGTGGGAATGCCCTGGAGGCCTGAGGCTTAATTTACGTTCCTGAAGCAACAAGACTCAAAGTAACAACAGGGAAAAAGAAATCTCTTCCGGAGCAAAGTCCAGCTGCTCTGCTAACCTGCAACAAAAGGTTGCGTTTTTACTCACGTGTTTAGTAACACTTAACAAAAGAAGATTTGTTCGTGAGCCAATAGTATGGTTCACTTTTTGTCAAAAATGGAAGTTATTTCCTCTGATTTCATGAGCCAGGGACCCCCTTCGGAAGTGCCAGAGTGCACCGACAAGGAGCGTGCAGGACCAGGAGCCTGAGGTCTGTCTAGAACTGAACCCCTAACAGGCTCCTGTCGTCCATAATTTCATGGTTTGCTTGGAACACTGCCCAACTACGACATTGTGTCGACAGGACAATGCAGCCCTGGCAGGTGAGTGACAGCTGAAAGGCAATCTTTTCTTGAACAGCGCAGGAGACAAAGCATGATTTGAAAACCGAGTCAGAAAAATAATTTTAAAAGTGCCAACTAGTACACAAACAGGAAACCATGTCAGAAGGTAACTTAAACTCTCAGTGAAAGTTACGGAGAATTCCACCCGCTCTCTTGACATTCTCCAGTGGTATGTGACTAATTTTGCCACAAGAAAGGGACGCCGCGTCCCACATCCCTCCAAACGCCCGAGTTTTGGCAGGTGACCACGCCGGGGACTGCAGGGAGCTGGTGTCAGGGTGGCGACGGCGAGCCACAGCGACAGTTCCCAGTGCAGCTTTGATTTTCCCACAAGCTAATAATCCCTAAGTGATGCGATATTTCATTCCAAGTTCACAAGGCATCCCATTGCCATGGCAACTGCAGTGTGGTACCAGCACTTCTCTTGTAAATGGGGCTGAGATGGCTGCCTGTCTCCCCTTGCAGAGTGGCAGGCACTATGTCCCCACACGGTGCTCAGGTGGCCCCCTCCCCCTGCCCCTCCTCAGCTCACCCCACCTGCCTCTTCCAGAGGACTTCTGGAGGCAGATGAAACACCAGGGAGTAAAGGCGTAACTTCTCTTTGTAGGACCATAGAGCCATATATGATTTCAGAATTTCCATTTGCACAGGGAAAACAGGTGTCTTTAAGTTTCCTGTATCATTAACTTTCTGGAAATTTGAGACCAAAGACAAATAATCATCAAGGAGCTCAAGGTGGCATTAAACATCCCACTGCGACCTTGGTTGGCATTGCAGGAAGTTGCCCTTTACTTCCTCTTTTCTTCCAAGACAGCCCCCCTCCCCACCCCCGACCACCCTGCCCTGCCAGGGACTGGAGCTGAGACTGGGCCTGAGGCTGGGGAGGCCTCTCCAAGGGCCCAGACTCAGGTCCCAGCCCGCAGTAAGGGCGTCTCCAGGATGGCGGCAGGCTGACTCTGGGTGCCCCTGCACTCACTTTCCACCTGCCGTGAAGCCACATGGGCCCAGACTCATCCCCCCAGCCCTGCTGGGCAGAGCCCTTGCCCCTGCCCCTGGGACCCTTCACAGTCAGGCACGTCGCTGCCCAAGGCCCGAGGCCCGAGGCCACCTTGGATTAGATACATGAAGACAACAGCTGTCATTAATGCCATCGCCTCTAACGCGCCCGGCGCACGCTAGGTAGTTTCCGTGTGGCATCTCCTGTACTATTCTCCCCAGACGGCGCAGGTCCGGGCAGGAGCCCCCTCTCACAGCTGCGCAAGGCCCAAATGGGTGTAGCCATGCGCCCGAGGTCACAGCACCCGGAAGGGGCGGGGCCTGGCTGCGACCCCACAAGTCCCGTTCTGCCCTGAAAGGAAGCTTTAGGACTCACCGCCTGGGCGGGGATCCACTGACTCTGCGAAAAACTCAGCAAATTGTAAGGATTTGGTGGAAGAAGTCCAAACGGAGCGCTCGCCTGCTTGTCCGGCCCCCATCCCTCCCAGGTTTGCAGTGGCTGTTTCCCGCCCTCCCCACGCCCACCCCCACCCCCACATGAAATGAGATATGCTATTTGAATACACGACGGCGGTGGGGGGTGGGGGCTGTGCACACTCTGAGCATAAATGGAAACCATCAGAAAGATGCAATTCAGAGGATATTGGGGTCTGGAGAACGGAACATCAGCCTATAAAACTCAACTCGACCAGTAAAGCTGGGGCAACCGGTCAAGCGTCTGGAAGCTTGAGGCTGCAGTGGACTCGGCAGGCACGGGGCCAGGCAGTGCTCCCGGACCAGGGGACATTTGTCCTGGGCTCATTGCGGTCTCATTTCCATAACGTGCCTCACGATTTCTGAAGCACCTCAGCGTTAGTGTCCTGGCACAGCCACCAACATGTCCGAGACGGTTCCCATTATGGGTAAACTTGACTTCCCAGAGCCCAAGTGTAGGGTCAGTGGAGGCAGTCTGGCTTCCTCACCCAGGTGTCTGGGCAGCTAAGGGGAGCAGCGTTCCCATAGCCTTGGAGGCGTCTGATAACCAGTGTTCTCACAGCCTTGAGACTGGGTCTGATACACTGTTCCCATAACATGAAGTGGGCTTGCATGCCCAGAATTATGTTATATAATTTCTGACATCTTGCTGGCTTTGTTCCCCTCTAGTACTCAAACAGGAAGGGACTCCCTGCTGGGGGTTGATGATGAGGGACACACAAGGGGACAGGGACTACAATGGGTGCCGCGCTGGGGAGCAGGGGCCACAACATGAGACATGCCCATAGATACCCAGCTTGCAGCGTGCGTGGCTCTCCCACCCGTGAATAAAGGCATGCCAGACATCCCAACAGCTCCGTGAATATTTTTCTGTCTGCACGAATACCATGGACCCCTCTGGCCTTGAACGGTGGCAACACACCGAGTCCTCCAGGGCTCCCCGCTGCCACAGCCCATGGGCAAGGGTGGGCACGCTGCCCTTTGCGGGGCTGCAGGTGGCACAGGCCTGTGCTCCACTGCCGAGAACGCACCTGCTACACCATCCTGGGCTTGGGGCCAGGTGCAGTGACCCCTCTCGCTACCCCCGCGAGGGGGTAGTTGCAGCCACCCAGAAGCCCTTTGCTGTCACTGTTGAAGGCACCGGTAGGCTCAGTCCCAAGCCTTCTCTTCCTCTCCCTACCCCCCACCCTTATGCTACCCCTGTGGGCTCTCCCACCTGCACATCCCCATGCTCCCACCTACCCACACGTGGCTTCTGTCCTCATGTTTCTGGACTTGTTCACGTGTGGCCATTTGGTGTCAGAACTGCAGGTATTCCTGCAGGCTGTGGTGAGCACCATTCATCAGGGCCACAGCAACACGGGAATTTGCATTCTGACTCACATTTTTGGGCACCTGTGTGCCAGTGAGCAGGGGCTCAGTGCCCGGTGCTGCGCCAGGAGCTAGGTGGACTTGGGCGTGAGGAGCCACAGGCCCTGCCCCGGAGGCTTGAACCCTCCACTGGGAGCCACTACTGCGCTCCTTCCTCCTCTGACTCCACCCCAGCATCGGGCATGAACCCTTTGGCCTCATACAGGGCCTTTCTGTCTTGCTCGGGGTGTGCGTGGAGCACTGTTCCCTCAGCGACCACTCCAGACCAGAGTTTGAGATCCTGCTGAACTGCGACCCACTGCGCTGGTGCCATCTGGCCACATTCTAGTGCAGTGCATAGCATGGCCCCCTGCTGCATGCGACTGACTGTCCAGAGAGGTAAACGTAGGCCCCATCACCACCTCTGGACAGGGCTCCCTGTGTGTGTGAGAGACCTGGGTGCCTCTGCGTGCCCTGGTTCCTCCTGGACATGTGTCCCTGGATTCTGCCCTCCGAGGGCAGGTGGCCACAACAGACCCAGCGTCTCCAAAATGCCACTGCTGCCATGTTGTCAAGGCTCAGGCCTCCCTCTTCCTCCACTGCCCTTACACTTTGACCGGTATGCTCAGCACCCCCAGTCAGGGGCCAAACGGGCACTGGAAGGACCACCGCACACCCCGGTCACAGGGCCCAGAGCCGCCCTCCTACCTCTAAGGAAGCAGTCCTTGGAGTGCACGGCGGCGATCCTCCTCTGCAGCAGGCACGCGGCTCGGCGGAGCTCACAGTGGTTCTCGTAGAACCTCCCGTCGGAGCCGCACACAGGCACGTAGCGGGGTCTGCAGGCCTCCAGGCATCGGCACTCGGGCTCGCCGGTCTCCCTGCTGAGCGTGCACCTGCTCCCAAGGCGGCACAGCGTCTTCCTGCAGGAGGCTGGCGGCGCATCGAGGCTGGAAAGCCCTGCCAGGCACACAAACACGGAGGGTCAGCTCCGGGCACTCGGGTGGGGCCCTGGGCTTCCTCTGTGGCTCGTTCACATCAGGGTGAGCAGAGGCTCCATTTGCCTGTGAGCCAGAGGCTCAGGGGGCCCAAGGGAGTCCCTGCCCCTCCAACAGGCTGTGGCCACTAAGAGTGGTGTCTGCTTGTGTGGAGCTCAGTTTTTATGGCTGGCTCACACCAAACATCTTGGGCATGAGCCCTGCCTGTCTGGGGAGAAATACAGGGGGGCTACAAGGAGGGCTTTCCAAAAGACGCAGAGGGCCTGAGTCGAGGCAGCCCCCACTGCATGGCAGGGAGCATCACACACTTTGGGGAGGTGCCCTGAGGTGAGGAGGCATTTTGTGCAGGAGGTGAGGGGTGGGTGGGTAAAGGAGACTGCGAAAGCCAAGCAGGGGATTTTGGTTTGATGTGTTAGGCAATGGGATGGGTGGGGGCGGGGAGGACACTGCGGAATCTCTGGAGGACGAGCAGAGTAGGGAGAAAGTGGCATCATAAGTGTTCAGGATGGGGCGGGGAGGGCCGTCGGGGCAGGGAGGCCAGAGGTCGACCTTTTCCTTGGGGGAGAATGGAGCTCTCAGGGTGCGCACCAGCACAGTGGCACGGGCAGCCTTTCTCCACTGCCCGGTCCCTTCTAGCGCAATGCTGCCGCAGTGGGCCAGAAGCTAAGGACCAGGAAACGGCAGCTGCGGTGTTGCAGGGAGTCCGCACCCCCAACACAAGCCTGTGATGGTCTCGGCCGTGGTGCCCAGGGCGCAGATGGCAAAGTGGGCAGGGTGGACAGCAGACTGGCTTGTGCCGAAAGGGTACACGCAGTGAAAGGCCAAACGGGCAGCCACCACCACCGCCCCACTCAGCCATCGAGGGCAGAAGACTGGCAGGCAGCCGCGTGGCATTGACGGCGACAGATGGGATGTTGAGAATTATAAAGGGATAGATAGCAAAGTACAAATGATTCAAACGTGAGTGCAGATTTCACGGCCACAGAAATCTTTGCTTTTAAGTTTCAGTTAAATTTCCAAAATACTCAGCAAAACAGAATGGCCCCAGCACTCGGGAGTGAACTTTCAGCCCCAGCTCCCACCCCAGGGGAGTAAAATGTCCAAGGGAAAAAAAGAACTTTCCCTTTCTTGATTTTGGTTAAGTCTGCTTTTCATCATTATAGATTTGAAAGGAAAAGAATCAGTTATCGGTAGATTAACTGCTTGATTCAATAACTCATTTAAATCCCTCTAGCCTTGGCAAGCTAAGAACTATTGACTTGTTCTTGAATCGTAATAAACTAGAAGGTCAAAATATCTCCAAGCAGTGCGAAAGTGCAGACCCTAAGCGGGCGCGTGAACTAACAGTTCGCAGGCACCGTGGAGCCTCCGCAGCTGCCAGACGTGCTTCTTCCCGTCAAGGTCGCCAGGCCCCGCGGAGGATGACTCGGGCCTGGGAGCCCCCCAGCCCCCTGGCCCCCGCCCGAGGTGTTTATGGCTGCTTTGCCACCAGGTGCATTTGCTCCTCCCGGAAAATGGGTTACCTTGGAAAGTACACGCAGCTACTGGAAGAAACGCAGCTCTAGGAACACGCGCACTCGATCCCTTCCCTACACAAAGCACCAACCTTCCATCACCATTGGAATAAACTTCCGCGAGCGACGGGAAGGGCGCTCACTGACTGGTTCGGAAAACCACAGAGAGCCAAAGTTTCTGAGCCTCTGGCCCCTTCTCCTCCCGCTGTGCTGCCCGCCCAGACTGTGCGCTTTCCCCCTAAATCTGCTTTAACCCACCTGGGGGGCCCGTTTCCTCAGAGTACCCCTCTCTGAATCCCTCTGCCCCACAGTGTCTGCCCCACTGTCTGGCCTCAGGAGACCTCGCAGGGGCAGGGCCTTTGTCCTCACGTGTCTCCACCCGACACCCCCGCATACTCAGGTTTTCGGAAACACAACTGTTTGAAAAGCTGATCTTCACTACCATTGTCCCACCCCACCACTCAAACCCCAGGCCAGAGGCCAAGCTGGTGCAGCTGCGAGGGGGCAGCCCCCTTGCCTCCCCCCAGGGCCGGGCAGGAGGGAGCTGGAAGGATGGTGCAGGAAGGGTAGACACCTGCCCTTGGAGGTGAGCCTTCTGGGGTCAACGGGACTTGACTCTGGAGTGGCAGAGCAGGCAGGGGCTTCCGAGACCACCGATTCCAGCCCAGGCAGTCAAAGGAAAGCCACCTCACTCTGGACAAGGGGAGCACCCCGTCTCCCCGGCCCTTTCTCCTCAGAAATGCCTGCATGCCCGGGTCACAGGACATGCCTGTAAAGGGCAGAGCGGCGTGTGGCACCTCCAATGCCCACGTTTGATTAGGTGCGACCGAGGCAGCCTTTGTGTTCAGAAAAGGTGCCAACCAGGGACGTGGAAGTCGTCCAGACACTCAGGTTCTCTCTGACAGGAAGCAGCTGTCGGCAGACAATGGGGTCCTAATTATTTGCAATTAAGGTAAAAGTAGCTTTAACGCCTTGCGCCTGCCCTTTCCAGTCTGCAGACAGCAGGCCCGCCAGGAGCAGGGACGCCCTGCGCAGGGATGGTCTGGGATCCCACCCACTGCCTACTGCAGCGGACCAGCAGTGGTTCCTCATTAACAAGCCCCTTGTCACCACTCCTCCTTGTTACTAAAACAGGATGAATCTCCCACTCCTACCAGGACGCTGATTAAACAGTAATGGGAAAGGTAACCAAGTGAGACCGCCAGCAACTGCCTCTGGTATTTATGAGGACAGCCGTGATTCATGAAAAAGATAATGTGTTTAATTTGTAGTCACAAAGAAAGTTGTTTACCTGGGTTAGAAACGGATCGTCATACCAAAGAAGCTGCTTTTCAACACTAATTAAATTTACTGAACACGGTCACAAAGGGGAATTGTTACATGAAAGTGACGGCGGCGGGAGAAACAAGCCCATTTGTACCAGTCGGTGCTAAAGGCTCCTCCCGTGACTCGGGTGAGGATTCTCCAGCGAGCGTCCCAGACCTGGCATTGCCAGCTTGGCATGGGCGCAGCTGGTGGAGGGTGGCCTCGGCCAGTCAGGTCCGGTGAACCCCAGTGGTGGGACCAGAGGGAGACAGTAGGTGCTCCTCCTCCACCTGGGGCAGGGGACCTCTCCCACCGCTGACCCCACCAGAGCACAGACGGTTCTGTGACTGGCTCCTTGGCACAGAGTGAATGAGTGTGGACTGTGCCCTGAATTGGACACAACAGGAAACCTGCCAGCTTTGCACCCTGGGACTTGAATTGCCTGCAAGTGTGTTTGCTCAGCACACGGTTTCTGTCTGAGAACTCATCCTTGTCATGGCCACTGAGGAGAGCCCTGACCCTTGCTCGGCCTTGGGAGGTCCCCACCCAGGTCTCAGTCTGCAGTACTGCCTCAATCTCTTCCTGCAGTCCCTGGGGCCCCAGCAAAGGACGGGGGCCCACCCTACCAGAAAGCCACACTGGGGTGACTTCTTGGCTCTGAGGTGGCCGCCCACTCAGCAAGGCCCAGCGCAGGTCGGGAACCATGGGATGTGGACACGGAAGGCATGCCCATGGCCAAGAACCGGCCACCTCGAGCATTGACGGTCTCACTGCTGCCTGCCGTGAGCCCCCACTGGGCGAGGCAACGGTCCCAGCGTTTGCAGACAGAAGGGACTTGCGCAGGAACCCAGGGCCCACCTGTCAGCAGGCTCAGCTCAATCACAGGCTTTATTTTCCGTGCATCCCACAAACAAACCCACCAGGGAGCTGCCGCCCACATCCTGGGTCACAGCCAGGCTTTATAAAGACCTGAAGCTGAGGATGTGCCTTTAGAAGAGCAGTGTGTGTGCAGACACGTGGGGCGTGCCACCCGGGAGCTGTGGGTGATGGTCCCAGGACTCCCTCACCCTCCGAAGGCAACCCACGCTCTCGGACGCGCCCCAGGAGGCCCTGGGACAGAGTGTCTGGTCACTTCTCCTGCGTGCCTTGGACGTGGCCGCAGAGTTTGGGTTGGCGTGAGAGCCAGGTAGACCACACCCAGCAGGCCAGCCGGTGCAGTTTCCACGCCCCGTGCATGCGGGTGGTAACCACGGGGCACTTCAGCGGGCCCCTCCCGCCAGCTCTCCATCCACCCTGTCATCCAACAAATGTTTCTGGAGCGCCTCCTGTGTGCCAGACCCTATTCTCGGTGTTGGGGACACAAGCAGGTGAGGACACTGTCCTCAGGACACTCACACAGCAGTGTAGGAAGACACACAAGAGCATGAAGAGGAAGACCAGTAAATCAGACACAGGTGGGCCAGGGGGGAAATAAACAGGGGCTGAGTGGGCCGGCCCTCATCTGGGGGTGAGGGAAACCTGGGGGAAGACGTGGGATTTGACCTGAGCCCTGGAAGTGACGGTGCGGAGCCTGGGCACAGCGGAGAGCACAGCGGCCTGGGGCCCTGCAGCCCATCTGCGGAATGAGCGGCCGGCACCGGGCGAGGCCTGGCCCACAGGGCAGACCCAGGCTGCAGGGAGCTGTGGCCGCAGAGGCAAAGTCTCTGCCTCGCCCGTCTGTGCACTTGGGACAGTGGGGTGACTCTGCTTTCCTGGAAGCCTCTGTCAGCCCCAGGGAACCGAGCGTGGGCAGGAGGCCCCGTCTCTACCCCTGCTGGAAGAACACTCCCGTAGGCCAGGAAGCTCTCTGCACCGCCCAGGCTGCTCGTGGGGAGGACAGCAGCCCCCCTGGGCTTTCACCACTGGTCACCTTGGTTGGGAACCTTCACACCCTCTGGGGGCCCTGGGTGCTGGGGCTGCTCCAGGTCCACTTCTGCCCTGTAAAGACTTATTCACACTCAAGTATTAGGAAGGAAGCCTGTAGCTCCTCCCGGGGGAGGTGCGTTCCCAGCACCCAGGCAGACAGAGCAATGCTGAGAGTAGCAACCATGCGCTGAGGCGTGCCAGGGCCAGGCGCCACGCCCAGCACGCAGGTACACGTGCG